TTTCCCTCCTTTCAGGATTCTGGGCCGTAATACCTGGCATGTTGCTCAAGCCACTGGGTCCAGGACTCAAACCATGTAGTTGACCATATGGGATCCAACCACTCAACCACCAGACCATGGAGCTGGCCCCTTCTCTCTTTTCCAACTATCCCTCTCTTCCTAGTTACTTGCCCCTACATTCTGTTAATATTTTTACAACAAAGCAATTTTGCCAAAGATTTATCCTCATCAAGAACATCTAGGCTGGTCCCAGAGTACTTCTACTTCACCCTTTTTAAAGTGTTCCTGAAGGTCAGCTCTCCCTGAAATTAATTCCACTCCCTTCATGCTTCTACCAGAAGTTTCTATTCAGAGAGAGCCATCCACTAATGATTCTGACCTAGTCAGTCTAGCTCTTGCACCACCACCTGTATTTTTCTTAGAAAAGAAACAGGAAAAAAGATGGGATGATGTGAGGCAGGATCCCTGCAGCTTGCACATCATAAAAACTTTTTAAAAAGCCTTCCATCGGGACCAGCAGTTAGCGTAATGGCTGTGTCACTGAACTCCCATGTAGCTGACTGCAGTTTGAGTCCCAGACCCGGTGGCTTAAACTCACACCGGGGCATGTGCATGTGTGGCCAAGATCCTGAGAGGAGAATAGAGGAGAAGGGATTACAGCATGGCCATCCCTCCTGGGGGGTGATTTCTCGCTTTTTATATCTCTGTCTTTCTGGAGAACACCCTATAGCAAAAACCTTGCAAAAAAAGTCTTCCATCAATGTTCTACAAGCAACATTCTTACTCTGAAAAGATATGTGCTATGGTCTCACATGCTGGTGACTACTTGGCCAAAGGCTTAAGGGAAGATTAAAAAGAAAGTAGAGAATTTGAAATCCTTGATGATACCAGAGCTGGAGATATTATTGTGAAACTCACAGGCAGGTTAACCAAGTGTGGAATGAACAACCGCAGATTTGATGTGCAACTCAAAGATCTAGAAAAATGGAATACTCTGCTCCCATTCCATCAGTTGGTTTCAGTACACTGATAACCTCAGCTGGCATCATAGACAATAAAGGAGCAAGACAAAAACACACAGGAGGGGAAAATCCTGGGGTTTTCTTCTTAGACACATAATATAAATACACAAATAACATGCCTCAATGGACCAAAAAAAAAAAGCAAAAACAGAAAAAGGAGAGAGAGCAAGGTAGCCATATGACATAAGTTAGCATGTTCTTGATTATTGAGCAAATAAATTGTTTTTGGTTTTTTGGTGTTTTCTACGCTCATTTCTCTATTCCTGTTCTAGAATCCATGTCATGATGGGAATTTCTCCCTGTTGACTTCCTGCCTTGCTCTCAGACACTGCAATTGAAGAATGCAGAGAAAGAACTTCACAGAGGTAACAGAGTTTATTTTCTTGGGGTTTTCCAGATTCCATGACCACCGCATCACTCTCTTTGTGGTTTTTCTCATCCTGTACACATTAACCCTGACTGGCAATGCCATCATCGTGACCATCATTCGCATTGACCGCCACCTCCACACCCCCATGTACTTCTTCTTGAGCATGTTGGCTACTTCGGAGACGGTGTACACACTGGTCATCATTCCACGGATGCTCGCCAGTCTCATAACTCCAAACCAGCCAATCTCCCTACCAGGTTGCACCACCCAAATGTTCTTCTTTGTTACCTTGGCCATCAACAACTGCTTCTTGCTGACAGTGATGGGGTATGACCGCTACGTGGCCATCTGCAACCCCCTGAGGTACACCGTCATCATGAGCAAGAGGGCATGTATCCAGCTGATGTGTGCAGCCTTTGGCATAGGCCTGGCCATGGCAGCCATCCAGGTGACATCCATATTTACCTTACCCTTTTGCCACAGGGTTGTTGGCCATTTCTTTTGTGACATCCTCCCTGTCATGAAACTCTCCTGTATCGATACCACTGTCAATGAGATAATCAATTTTGTTGTCAGTTTATTTGTCATCCTGGTCCCCATGGGCTTGGTTTTTATCTCATATGTCCTCATCATCTCCACTATTCTCAAGATTGCTTCAGCAGAGGGCAGGAAAAAGACCTTTGCCACCTGTGCCTCCCACCTCACGGTGGTCATCATCCACTATGGCTGCGCCTCCATTGCCTACCTCAAGCCCAAGTCAGATAACTCTGTAGAGCAAGACCTCCTCCTCTCTGTGACCTACACCATCATCACTCCTCTGCTAAACCCTGTTGTTTACAGCCTGAGGAACAAGGAGGTCAAGGATGCACTGCACAGAGCTGTGGGCAGAAACATTTCTTAACACTTCTATCCTCTTTTTGAAAAGACATTTATCCCTAATCAATGTGTGTCTTCACTGTATTAAAAAGCTTCACAGCTCTGTCCTGTATGGTCTATTCTGCAAAGGGATGTGCACATCTTCCTTCAACATCTATTACAAAATATTTTTTTAAAAAAGGAATTGTTTTATTCAACTATTTATTTATTTATTTATTTATTTATTTATTTATTTATTTTTATTTACATTTTTAATACATTCAATCACATTATTTAGCTTACAAGGTGATCATTTTAATATGTGAACATTTCTCCCCAGTCGAGTTGATCAAAATACAATAACACTACCTCCCTCTCTCAACAATGCTGTTTTCGTATGCCTCCTTCAAATGTTTTTCCCCAGTCCCCACTCCTCCACACACACCACATCTGGCATTCACATCCACCTCTTGTGTTTGTACATCCTTTATCCCATCCATTTCAGTTATAGAGTGCAGACATTCAGAATATATTAAGTGGGGAAATACAGTGACTCTCCTTCATAGCCTGGCTTGCTTCACTCAGCAGTAAATCTTCCATATTCTTCCACTTTCTGTCAAAAGCCAGGGTTGGTTCCATGTCTTAGCAATTGTGAAAAGTGCCACAATAAACATCGATGTGCAAGCACTTTTCCAATGAGAAATTCTTCTGTCCTTTGGGTAGATGCCAAGAAATGGGATTACTGGATCATATGGCAGTTCTATTTGTAGATTTTTGAGGAATCTCCAAATGGTTCTCCACAGTGGTTGAACTAATTTACATTCCCACCATCAGTGTAAGAGAGTTCCCCTTTCACCACACCCCCACCAACACTTATCATTGTTTGGTTTTTTAATCTTAGCCATTCTGACTGGGGTTAGGTGGTATCTCATTGTTGTTTTGATCTGCATTTCCCTTACAATGAGGGATGTTGAGCATTTTTTCATATGCCTTCTGGCTATTCTTATGTCATCTTTAGTGAGTGTTCTTTTCAACTCCTTCTCCCATCTTTTAATAGGGTTCATCATCTTTTTTCCAAACAGCTTCTTTAGTTCCTTATGTATTCTGGTTATCAATCCCTTATCTGATGCATAGTTTACAAAAATATTTCAATTTGGAGAGAGGAACAGTGTGAGAGAGAGGGAAAGTGAGAGAGCAAGCCGCCAAGTCCAGGACTCAAACTGCAGTTGGCCATGTGGGAGTCTAGCACTCCTAACCACCAGGCCACTTGCCGACGCCTGTTACTAAATCTTAACCTTTGTTTCAAAATTGTGCTCAGGCATTTTCAAAGGAGTATATGAAGGGTTGAGGAAGAGGGGCATGATTTTAAGAAAGCATATTCAAATTTCTGGGATGGAGCAAGACTTCTTATGGACTTCTTAAAAGCATGTTAAATTTGACTAAAAGCAATCCTTATTATATTAATAATATAACCTACAAAAAATAAAACAGGACAAAAATCTTCCCAGTAGTGGTTATTAGTATGAAGTTTTCTCTGAAAAGAATATTTTTTTGATCCCAATCTTGAAGAAGATGTGAGGTGTGTTAGAAAGCAAACAAACAAATGAAACCAGATTAAGAAGGCTGGAAAGCAGGCTTAGTCATTGAAAGTTTTGTCTTATTATTTCCTTTATACCAAAGTCTTTGTTTCCATTCCCAGTGGTCTTCACCCATGGCCAGAGACGTGTGTAGCTCTCACCTCTCCTGTCTGAGTGTGCTCATCTGACTCCCTCTGATTTCTGCTTCTCTCCATGGGAATCAGCCTCTTTCTAAACACTGTTACCAAAAAATGGAGTTAGTGAAAAAGATCTGTGCCCTCCTTGAAAGGAGAACCCTAAAAGTATTTATTCAAGCACATCCCATGGCACCTCCTGCATATTATAAAGACAAAAGAAAAAAAAAAAAAAAAAAAAACAGCACCAGCAGTCAGGAGTAGTTCAGAGGTATAATTGTTTAATCCTTCTTCCAAGATCACCTTCTCCCAAAAAAAAAGTTTAAAAAAAAATCCCTTCTCCCACTAGATGCCCTTTGACAAGAACAGTCTTTTCCTTGGAGTTTCTAGAGAGCTTTGCTGGTTTCATGTCTGTACATACCTTCTATATTGATATCCTGGTGGATGAGAGAGAGAGTTTCAGACGTTTTTGTTGTGTGCCTGTTTCTACTAAAATATTTGCTATTAAAATGCTTCTCTGTTTTCCCCCACTGGAAAGGGATAGGTAACTCCTGCAAAAACATGTTGAGAGCAAAGACTATCTTTAAAGACCCCTGAGGTTTTATTAATAGGTCAGGAAGACCAGAACTCTTTCAAGGCCTGGCTTTCTCTTTATAATCCTGGGTTTATGACATTTATTTTATTTATTGATTTTTATTTCTCCTATGGAAGAGGTGGCAGAAGCACTTCCAATGGGGTCTACATGCCACAACTCACCCACAGCTTCAGATAGCCCAGATCACGGTCATGATCAGCACGTACAGGGAGGCTTTGGTATGTGAACCTGGATTGTTCCCATGTGGGTTAAGCATCCCAGAATGTTGTGATACCACTGGCCATTGGCTGACTCTGTCTGAAGTTTCTACATCATAAGAGAAAGGTTTTGCACAAGAGCTTTTGAGAGGTTGAGTGTTGGTTGTAAAATCCATATGGACCGACAACGTGACAGACATGGACATGCTGTGTGGTCTCCCATGGCAGCACTTTCAGGGTCAGCCTACCAGGGATCCACAGCCTCAGACCTAATGATGGCATTGTCTGATGAGCAGGGGTATGGCTTCCTCTGGCATGACAGTGTCTCTCCTAATAGTATGAAAGAACCGCCTCACGCTGCCATCAAGACCACCTGTACCATGGTCCTCCTCCACTCCCTCTGGACTAGTAACTTCTTGCATGTCCTTAGACCTGTTCTTTTGTGTGCAGAAAGGAGGTTGTGGGGCAGGAAATGCTCCCTGAGCAGGAAAGTAGAGCAATGGAGGGAGTTAGGTGGTGGTCAAGCCTGCGCTAATCCACTCCAGGGGCAGAAGCTGCCTCCATCTCTCCTTACTCCTCTTTCTCCTTCTCCACTCAGCCATCCATTCCTTCATCCAGGGATCATAGACAAAAGATTTCTCCAGTATTCTTTCTTGATCTAAATGCACTCAAGAGCAGACACCACACAAGCTGCTATGCAGGCAGAAGTTAAATTTCAGAGCTGGCTTGAAGAAGAGCCCACAGAAAAGATCAGTCATAAACCTTGAAGGAGAAATACCTCCATGTACAGTTCTGTTTCCTTCAGTGCTCCAATGACAGGTCTATATTTTTCAAATGAAAATATGTACTTCGGGACCAGCAGTTAGCGTAATGGCTATGTCGCTGACCTCCCATGTAGTTGACCACGGTTCAAGTCCCAGACCCAGTGGCTTAAACTCACGCCAGGCGCATGTGTTTGCGTGCCCAAGATCCCGAGAGGAGAATGAAGGAGAAGGGATTGTGGTGTGGCCATCCCCCCTGGGGGGTGATTTCTCGCTTTCTGTCTCTCTGTCTCTCTGGCAAGCACATGCGTCCTATAACAAAAATCTCTCCAAAAACAAAAATATACATATATACTTCTACTTTCTTAGATAATAAGATTCTGTATTATGTGATAGAAAGGGTAGAGGATAAATAGTCAAAAGACCTGGGTTCAAGTCCTTACTTCATACCTGTCAGCATGAATATATTTTTTAATTTGCTACTGCGTACACACTCACCAGAGAGAGAGAGAGAGAGAGAGAGAAAGTGAGAAAGCACCCCTCAGGTGGGATAGCCACACCACAATCCCTTCTCCATTCTCATCTTGTGAATTGGGGCACACATGCATATGAACCCTGTGTTTCTCAAGCTGCCAAATATGAGACTCAATCCTTCCGTGGGATCCAGCCATCTTAACCACCACACCACTGGCTGACCTGAATGTAATATTATTAAATTCTGCCTCACTGTCCATTAAAATTCGTGTTTAATTCTCCTTGCTTATCTAGTTTGTGCTGACTGCTATCTAGCAATAAGTGCTACCTTACATTGTTTTCAGCAGCATTTACCTCACTCCCTCCCAAGCAGCTAGTTTTACTTTCTTATGTGTCTCTGGAGTTCTTCGTGGAAAATTATATTAGTATAATATTTTTTCATTGTGCTTTCATTTCTTATTTCTATCACTAGTTCACAAGCATGCAAAAGAATTTGAAAAGGGAAAATAGAATTACAAGTTTATTTTGGTGCAAAAAAAAATTCAATCACAGGCATATTGGGAGCAGGAATTATTTTTCTCGTTAATATGCCTCTTGCTAGGACAGTGCTTGGTAGAGTGGGTGTTCCATAGGTTATTCACTTGGAGTCTGAGTCCCAGCCATGGACAAAGCTCTTTGCTTGGAATTCCTGGTGTGTGAGTCAGCTAGACATACCATTCTCTAAGTCAGTTTCGCAGCTGTTACAAAATGTCTGAGACTGGGTAATTTATAAATGATGGAAATTGATTCGTCCCAGTCCTGGAGTCTGTAAAGCCCAAAGTCACGGCACTGGCGGGTTCAGTGTGTGGTGAGGGCCTAGTCTCTCCTTCCAAGATGGAGCCTTGTTTCTGCACCCTCTGGAGGAAAAGGACGGTGGGTCCTCACATGCCAAAGGAGACCAAAGGAAAAAGGGGGGCCCAACTAGTTTCCTCCAGTCCTTTTATAAGGTCTCTAATCCCATTTATGAGGGCTCTGCTCTCATGACTTAGTCACCTTTTAAAGGTCCCACATCTAAATGCTATCACATTAGGGTTTAAGTTTCAACATAAGTTTTGGAGGAGACACACTTACTCAAACCATAGCTTCTGCTGTGTTTTTTCTGTGTCCTTCGCGATTGGCTCGCCCCTAAAGACAGAGTTGGAAGCAAGTCCATAGTTCTAAAATCACTTAGATCTGTTTTTCTTTCTCCCCTGGTTTTTTCTGCAAGACAACTTTTCAGTGTTTTAAGACCTCTCTCAGCCTCTGTGTTAATATAGCCATTTGCACTGATTAATTCCTTAGCAACACAAAATCAGAAGCAGTTGAGTTTTTCACAAAAGGGCATAAAGTTACCAAGA